CCCTTCAGTCTTCTATCTGACCTCCGTCCTTCCCTTCAGTCTTCTATCTGACCTCCGTCCTCCCCTTCAGTCTTCTATCTGACCTCCGTCCTCCCCTTCAGTCTTCTATCTGACCTCCGTCCTTCCCTTCAGTCTTCTATCTGACCTCCGTCCTTCCCTTCAGTCTTCTATCTGACCTCCGTCCTTCCCTTCAGTCTTCTATCTGACCTCCGTCCTCCCCTTCAGTCTTCTATCTGACCTCCATCCTTACCTTCAGTCTTATATCTGACCTCCGTCCTGCTTGCATGGATACAGATTGGTTGGATAGTTTAGGTTGGCCCTCATATTATATAGTTTGGGTAAATCTAAAGGACATTTTACAGCAGACTTTAATGTGTAAAAACATTGAATACAGTTTTGGATGGAGTGGGGGGGGGGGATCAGGACCTCTGCCAGGTTTTTACTGCTATCCAGGACTCCGTAGGGGTGCCAATACACTCTTCGATTGTCGTTCGGAACCCGTCCACGAATGGTCTTTCGAATGATAATTAGTGATGGGCGTCGAGCCTGAGTTCGGCGACACACAAACTGTCAGGGCGTTCAGCGGGCCATTCGCCCACCGAGCGCCCCACAAGGCCCCGGCGCACCGCACTGTGCTTTGTGAGCCCTGATTGGCTAAAGCCTTGTACCTGACCGCAGGTGCCAATCAGGGCCCAGTACTCTGTAAGAGCCATGACTGGGCAAAGTCATGATGACTTTGCCCAATCATGGCTCAGCTGTCAGATGCCGTACAACTGTAAACAGTTGGGAGGAGCAAGCTGTCCCCTTTAGCTCCGCCCAATTGTTTATATGTTGCCGGCATCTGTCAAAATGCCATTATGTGGCGGGAGAACGTCGCAAGCGGACGGGTCGGCGGGCGTTGTTTTTTTTAAAAGTTATTATTTCTATTTATTTTTTATTTTTTTATTTCGTTGAGTCGTCGTCGTTGTCGTGGACAACGCTGGGCGTCGTGATTGACGCTGGATTACGTCGGTGGATCAATTTTTTGTCTTTTGTTTTTTTTTAAATAAAGGATTTTTTTTAAAAAGCTTTTCTTTTATTTCTAATATTATAATATCTTTTAACCCCTTACTCATTCACAAGGGGGGTGGTGGCATCTGGGTGCCCCGTTATTAAAGGGGTATCCTGATGTGAATAAGCCCCGCCCCCTGCCTGCACCCCCACAACCAACACCCCAGGACTTGTGGGGAAGAGGGCCTTGTTCCCATCAGCACGGGGACAGGGGGTGCTTTTCCAGGGGCGACCCTGTACTCCTGGCCGAGTTTCCTCGATCAATGAGGCTGGACAACTTTTTTGGAATCATGTGAAAATCGATGGATTAGTGGCGTTTTCATACGAAAATAATCGCAGCAAGAACACTGCACATGCGCAAAAACAAAAATCCGTTCCAATCAACAACATTCGATGAGTTAATATTGCTAACGAACGATTATCAAAATCTACATTGGTCTGTGCGTGATGGGATATTTGTGCTTAGAATCGAAAGAGGGTTCTTGGCAGCCACAAAAATTCCCCATCGAAAATCTATAGGTGTATGGCCAGCTTTAGAGAGATTTCCCCTCACTTCCTGTTCTGCTGACAACTTTTTAGCAGACAGGAAGTGAGGGGAACTCACAGACAGAGATAAAAATAATTTCCTCTACTAGAGTAGAGGGAGGCTAGAGTCCCAGCCAGATTTTTTATATCTGTCTATATCTCTGTTGCAGTGTTCCCTTCACTTCCTGTCTGGCGATTAGTGATGGGCTCCGGCGTGTTCGCAGCTCCCCGTGCCGAGCCCGCCAGGAAGCTGACAGCGCCAATCACAGGCACTGAGCCATTTCCCGATCTCTGCAGCTGCGGACCGGGATAATTTCTCAGTACCTGTGATTGGCGCTGCGGCGCTGTCAGCTTCCTGGCGGGCTCGGCACGGGGAGCTGCGAACACGCCGGAGCCCATCACTAATCGCCAGACAGGAAGTGAAGGGAACACTGCAACAGAGATATAGACAGATATAAAAAATCTGGCTGGGACTCTAGCCTCCCTCTACTCTATTAGAGGAAATGATTTTTATCTCTATCTGTGAGTTCCCCTCACTTCCTGTCTGCTAAAAAGTTGTCAGCAGAACAGGAAGTGAGGGGAAATCTCTCTAACGGAGCTCCAGATAGCTGCAAACCTTCCCCGCTCCACGGAAGCTAGAATGTGGTTTGTTTCTTATTTAAAGTTCAGCTCACACAATCCTATTATTACAGATCTGTCTGCTCTTATTACGTATCTGGGTGACTTCACTCTCGTATTTAGAATTAGCCGTCACTTGTGAGCTGTCATGTCCGCCACCCCCACACACCTACCCCTTCCTACCAAAACTGCTGTCAGCTGTCAGCCACACCGCACCGCCTGGAGCTAAAACTTTCACCATGAACGTCGTGCCCTGTGCCCGCTGCGGCTATGAGGTCTACCCGGCAGAGAAGATTAACTGCATCAACCAGGTCAGTGTCTGTTCTGGAATTGCTTCCTCTTTTATTATTATTATACAGGCTTTATAGAGCGCCAACAGTTTGCGCAGCGCTTTAAAATATAAGGAAGACATTACAATCACAATACAATTATATGGGTTGGACTTGATGGACGTATGTCTTTATTCAACCCCAAATACTAATGTAACTATGTAACAATTCAAGACAAGATGGTAAGGAGGGCCCTGCCCCTGAGGGCTTACAATCTAAGATGTTAGTGGCTACATAATATGGAAGTGCAGAATTATATCCATAGTCATACCCAGTCTATAGAATTGTACCCATAGTCATATACTGTCCATAGGATTGTATCCACATTAGTATCCTGTCCATAGAATTGTATCCACATTAGTATCCTGTCCATAGAATTGTATCCACATTTGTATCCTGTCCATAGAATTGCATCCACATTCATATCCTGTCCATAGGATTGTATCCACATTAGTATCCTGTTCATAGAATTGTATCCACATTCATATCCTGTCCATAGAATTGTATCCACATTCGTATCCAGTCCATAGAATTGTATCCACATTCGTATCCTGTCCATAGGATTGCATCCACATTTGTATCCTGTCCATAGGATTGTATCCACATTCGTATCCTGTCCATAGGATTGTATCCACATTCGTATCCTGTCCATAGGATTGTATCCACATTCATATCCTGTCCATAGGATTGTATCCACATTCATATCCTGTCCATAGGATTGTATCCACATTCGTATCCTGTCCATAGGATTGTATCCACATTCGTATCCTGTCCATAGGATTGTATCCACATTCGTATCCTGTCCATAGGATTGTATCCACATTCGTATCCTGTCCATAGGATTGTATCCACATTCGTATCCTGTCCATAGGATTGTATCCACATTC